TAAGCCTGTGAAATCTGGGGGGAACGATATTTGTCCATCATTCAGCCATTTCGTGTTTCCAACTGCCTCTTGGGGGAGCTTCGTTATTTTTTTTCCATCATTCCTTCAACATCGTTATTTTTTGATGTCATTCCATGAATTCGATCGGAATCGGACTTCGGAATAGGCACGTACCACGTACCTTCTTGAACGGAGTAAGAATGTAACTGAATGATACGTCTCGTTAGGGCTCGTAACGGAGAGTTTCTCTCGTTACGACAATGGAGCGTCCCCAGCACCATCTTCTACCTTGAGAGTATAGGAGCATAGGCAAAGACATGAATGGAGGGGGCAGTGTTTGCCCAGGTTCACCTCCAGAAAGGGCACAGAATAGACCGACCTCATCGGAAAAAAGAGAAGAATCTCCGGAAAAAAATCTCTGTCGAGCGACGCGATGTCCGCGAGCTGTATTTTCAGATTCAGTGGGGCCGAGCTTCTTTGACAACGATGGCATTTCCAAAGCGTGCTCCAAACGGAGCTCAATCACCCCATCGGGGAGACGCGGTTGTCTCTCTCCGTATTCTCTACTCTAAACATCAAAAAAACTTATAGTATCGGGCTAGAACTCTTTATTTTTATACTCATCATACGAGAAGATCGCCGAGCTTCCAATCACTGCTCTTCATCAATCTGAGACTGGGCTCCGGGTTCGTTATGGGCATCGACTGTCTCCTCGAGTGAGCATGATTCTTCCTGAGTGTGATTACGCAACATGCTCTTCACAAACATTATTCGTCTGAATCAGACATCGCTGAGGCGCTCACGAGAGTAATGTTTGATCTTTCTGGCCCTGCTGGACCAGTCCTCTCTCAGAAGCGACGCTAGTAGGCTGGATGGAGTCCAAACAAGCGATCAAATTAGTTAGAGGAGAACTGGTATCAGACTCATGCGTTTCTCCACGTTCGAAGCCTCTCAGAATTTCTTCCGCTCTCTGTTCCAACTGCAAGGGGGGAATTCCGGAGGATTGCATCCGGACATTTCTATTGGACTTGACCAACATCTCGAATCTCTGTTGCATGGTGGACGTGGATAACACGCCCTCTCGCCGATTCTCGGCAGCATCCGACGACACACTCGTACTCGTGACATTCCTCATGAACTTGACGATTTCTTGAATGAGATCTGACCTTTCCATGAGCATGACTGGGTTCTGAGAGACCGCGGCGATCGAATTATCGAAACTCGAGCAATAGAAACGATCCTCGAAGTATCTGCGTATCTTCGACACAGATTCACGCCTTTGAATTTCTCTCTGGCAGATGCAACGACAGAGCGCTTTGGCAAAACCCGAGTCGGTGCCGGTAGGATCCACGAGCAATGTCTCAACGAGGCTCTGGAAGGAAAATGTATCAAACTCCACGCCCATTGTCTCGGCCTCGAGCTTGTCGTCGGAAGTCTCCGATGACACCCAGGGAGAGCGAACAGCGAACCCAATACTATCCTGATAATACCTCGAGAATATGCTCCGAGTCCATGATAGACGCATCCTCTGCAGAGATCCTCACAACGGAGCTCTCGACGACGGCCAATGCTTCTATCATCTCTGTTATAACTTTGATATCCGCCATACCTATTCACAGCTCTAACGATGACAGCCCCATGACGCCCCCGAAGTGAGCGTCAGATTCCGAACCTGCTTCAGCCGGCACCCGGGATTGAACCTATCCCCGGATCTTCGGATGAGAGAACAGGAACAGAGCTACATACCAAATGTATAATAGCTTACCCCTCGCCGACGAATAGAAGCTCGCCTTATCCATTCGACCATTCTATCGGCCAAACGTCTATCAAGGGGAGTGCCGAACATGTAACACGCCGATCGGGCTGAAACTTCGGTCATACAATCCCCGCCCCGAGAGGAGTTTAACCCTAGGAGGTTATCTGCTTATGGCCACTTTAAGGTTGTTTGAATAATTATTGGAAACTCGCCCTTAAGCATTGACTCTACGGGAATATTGGAAAATACTATGAACAATGGACGAATATTGGATCCGCCCGAGATATCCGAAAACATATGATTTTGGATCGCCGGATTCGAATTTGGCGGTAAGACGCCATCTTCATGAGTGGTATCTACTCCCGATTCCCTCGAGACAGCCAAATAATTGGAGCTAATTCCTACATAAACGGAATGGAGCAATTCATTCGGACGAATTCAGTGTTACTGAATTCGTCCGAATGAATCCACGAAAAAGCGCTTCACACATAGATTCTGCTTGCCATGTATGCATTTTATGAACGGAGTTCCGCGACATGAATCACCGGAACAAACTTCGGTGACCGAGAACAACATCTCGGCGATACTCAGGAAGGGTATCTTCGGCACGTCGAAGCCGGACTTGTGCCAGCCGGACAACCACATACTTCGGAAATCAGGGTACTGAAACTGATTATAGATGAGTGATTGGAGTCGAAGGACATCATCGCGGCGGTCGATGCGGCATCCGATCAAGCCACATGCTCGAGTCATTCGCTTCGCGAAATTCTTCCACATTTGGAAGGAGTAAGCGTCCAGCGGCTGAATCAGCGGTATTGACCCCGGCGGTAGTGTCTTGAGGCAGATTTCTTTGTCGTCCAGTTGGAACAAGCTCTGATCTCGCTGTCCGCCCCAAGAATCGAGATAGAGCACACATCGATCCACTCCGGTGCGATCCAGACTTCCTTTAGAATTTCCTGACACCAGATCTTCATCAGTCCCTTGTTCAACTTCCCAGACTTGGTGCAAATTACAAGAAGATTTTTGTATTCCGCTCATAAAATGCATACATTGCAAGCAGAATCTATGTATGAAGTTCTTTTTCGTAGACTACCACTTACGCTGAATTCGTCAGAATGAATTGCTCCATTCCGTTTATGTAGAAATTTGGCTCTAATTATTTGGCTGTTTCGAGGGAATTGGGAGTCGATACCACTCATGAAGAAGGCGTCTTGGCGTCAAATTCGAATCCGGCGATCCAAATACATATGTTTTCGGATATCTCGGGCAGATCAAATATTCGTCCATTGTTCATAGTATTTTCCATTATTCCCGTAGAGTCAATGCTTGAGGGCGAGTTTTCGATAATTATTTAAACACCCTTCAAGTGGCCATACGCAGATAACCTCATAGGGTTGAACTTCTCTCGGGGCGGGGATTCTATGACCGAAGATTCAGCCCGATCGGCGTGTCACATGTTCGGCACTCCCCTTGTATGTGGTTTGAACGGTTGCATGTGCGGGTATGTACTGCGCACATGATGATATGAACACTTCACTCGAGCTCTTCGAATTTGAATCGCAACGGTTTTCACATGGAGACTGCTCGAGTACTCCTGAAGAGCAATCTGAATCTGTAGGACCTCGATTATTTCAACTGATCGAGGATTGATATAACCGAGGTTTCATAGGAATACCACGCAGGCCGTATCAAGATTCGAGTCCCGAGTTTTACGGTCCGTAACGGGGCGCTCGGCACTGTGACGGGGCGTTACGAAGCGTATATCCCATCACGACTGTACTCAGTAATAGGAGGTACAAGCCTACTTCTGAATAATCTCTGATCTCGCTCCTTTGCGAAGACATCTGCTGTCGGTTTTTTTTGGTCCTTACTCCATAGACGTCGGTGCCGTAGGTGCTCTTAAGGTTCGTGATGAGTCCGGCTCAGTCGGGATGTCCGATGTCCAAGCTGAGACTTTAATAGTTCCTTTCGTTCTCTCTCCGAGGGGTCGAGGGATTTTCGAAGGTGTTGTTGTCCTGGTTTCTCGGAGTGCTTCCTTAGATATGCCGCCTAAGCGCAGACGGAGCACGCTGGGTCGGTATTCGCACCGTGCGACTCAAAGGAGGGCCTCGATCGCTTTTGACACTGGTTCTCAACGAGCAACTAGGTTGCAGCTTGACAGAATACGGCACTCGCGAGCGCGTTTGACAGAGGATGAGGATCGTCGAAATGCGAGACTGGAAGAAGACCGTTTGCGGCATTCGAGGACACGAGTCAATGAAACGAATGAGCGGAGAGTTGCGCGCTTGGATGGGGTCCGATCTCATACTCTCTAAATGCATTCGGAGGAAACGGAGGGCGAACGAGTGGAAAGATTGTTGGCTGATAGAGCCCGGCATGTTCAGGTCAGGCGTAGCATACATAATGATTTGAACCTTGCGGCTTTTGAGTATGGCCCTGGTACAGAGCACAACACGCTCCGTGGTGTGAATATAGGAAGAATGGATCAGGTATGTAATTCCTGCCGAGCACTCAAATTTGCTAAAGAGACCCCAGGCATGTGCTGTGCGGGAGGAAAAGTCAAGTTGCCTGAACTGTGTCCGCCGCCTGAGCCCTTAGCGACATTGATATCTGGGAGCCGAAGGGATAAGTCATGTTTCCAAATGACATCATTCGGAGCGACGGAAATCATCCGAGACAATTATATGCCCACCTTCAAAATACAAGGTCAGGTATATCATCGCGCTGGGTCTCTTTTGCCGCCACCGGGGGCTGATCACCAATTCCTTCAGATCTACTTCATGGGCGACACAAACGAGCAAATTGATCAGAGGCGTCGTTTCAACACTGGAACAATTCGTGATGGATGATACCACTGTCACACCTATCGAGGTATCCCAAGAGGATTCCCGATGAAGAAAGAAGACAGCTCGTTTTCTTTGATTGTATGAAATTCCAGCATGCGATTCGACGTATCACAAGACTTAATTGTTGTTGGGAGTGCTACTTTTCGACCACTTCTGGACCGGACGGGAAACACGAAGCTTTCATCGCCACGGATGGGCATACACTCTGATTTATTTTGATCTCACAAGCACGTTATCTGTGACGACTCTCTATCTCAAATCCGACCCGCGCACCTCGGGCTCACAATAATCGACACTGCCCCCGGAAAAACCCGTAGGGTTTTTCGTTACATTGACACAAGGCTCTGGGGTATGATCTTATTTCCAAAAGGAATTTTCGATTCCTTAGCTAACCTAATTTACGATCTCTGAGTTTTCCGAAATCGACGCCGGAGCTGTGACAACACGTTGGTCACTCCAAAGTGCGCGTTGACGCGATGAGCTTCAATGATCAGAAGCCTTGCCAGTCGGGACTCGCCAGGTATGACGATAGGGTTCTTCTCGTCTTGAGTAAACAAGGGACTTTTCGTGAGTCTCGTTCTGGCTCGTAAGAGACCCGATGCGTCGATGAAAAGCGCGAATGACGCCAGCTTTGACCCAGAGGGAACGCGTTCGCCGGCACTTGCGCATCTGAACTCTGTATCGAAGTGCGCTCGCTGGGTCCAAATGATGAGTCGAACTTCGGCCTGTCGCTGCAATTCAGCGAAGCTGGTCGGCTGGCGCCCACCAGCGATGTCGACGAATTTCAGGATCTGAGCCATCACCCGCAGCGCCCGGCCGTACGTGCCGTAGCGCTCAAGATCGAGGAGCGGCGGAGCGGCAGTGAGGACTGCGACCGACTGACGCATCTCCGCCCGTGCCAATTGCAGAGTTCCTTCCTGAAATCGCGGCCTGGATGTCGGCTGCTCGTGTGCCGGTTTTCGGAGCCACTCTGGACCAGACCACCAATGTCTGGCCGCAACTAGTGTCTCGGCACTTATCCCTCGAGTTGCCAGATCAGCCACGTTGAACTCGCCAGGTACATAATACCACTCTTCTAACTTAGAGTCAGCTTGGATCTCCTTGACCCGGTTAGCGACGAATATTTTCCATCTTCCGGTGCTCGCTGACGTTGCCCAGTAATACGTCACCAATGAGTCCGTATAGAACGAGACACGGTCGAAGGTATCTTCGAGGCGATGCGTGAGGAATCTCTTGAGGCGGATAGACAGCAGAGCAGCCATCAGCTCGAGTCTTGGAAGCGATTGGCGATGTGACTCTTGCGGAGCGACCTTGGATTTGCACATCACGAGCGCGAATCTTGAGGGCTTATCGGGGTAGCAATACTCGATATACGCCGAGCTCGCGTAGGCGAAGGGCGAGGCATCGCCGAAGACATGAAGCCGATACCCCGTTGGCTTCCCGAGATGATCTGGATAATGGCGAGGTACCGTGAAGCGGCTGAGAGTCTCCGTCTCCGATGCCCACAGCCTGAGCTCGGAGCCCATCTTGGCGCTGTTGATCTGTTCCCACTCCAGGTTCTCCGACCACATTTCCTGAATGAGTCTCCTGCCTCTCAACGTGAAAGGGGTTAGAACCCCGCACGGATCGTAGATCGACGCCACAAAACTTAGTACAAAGCGTTTAGTTAGTTTCTCCTGACTCCGTGCTCGTTCGCCAACCATGGCGAGACTGAACTCCAGGTTGTCTGTCGTTGAACACCAGAGAATTCCAAGAACCTTGAATATGCCGCTGGTGTTAGCTCCAGAAAGGCTCATCGCAGCCCCGTTCTCCACCAGGTGAGCGGCGACCCCCTCAGAGTTCGTTTTCCATTTGGCGAGCTCCATGCTGGCGCCACTAAGAACTTTCCTCAAAATATCGGTGGAGGCGATCGCCTGCTCTTCAGAGGGTGAGCTCCCAACGAAATCGTCGGCGTAGACGCAGGCGGACAATTCCTGCTCTGCGCCTGGGGCGGCTCGCTTGAAATGCTCGCGGAGCGTCGCTGCGAGGATGAAACTGCTCGACGCAGCGCCTCACGTGACCTTCGTCATCTGGTAACAGCGAGTACGCTCCTCGCCGGGCGATCGCCAGAGAAACCGAAAGCATGGACTATCTGCCGGATCAATTGCAATTCTC